GGCGGTCCAAGGGAGCGTTGCATGATTCACAGCACGAAAACGCAAATTTACGTCGTCTTAAACGCGACGTAAATGTAACGTAAGTTTGGACTTACACGACTTTACGCTCGCATAAACGAACCGTAACGTTAACCTTTACGCTACCTTTAATCAATGGCGTAAAGGTGCGTAATTGAACACTAAAACGATTGACGTAAAGTTGGCGGAATTGTGACGTAAAGCCGCTTTTAAAGAGCAGCGTAAAAGCAGTTTTACGGTTCTGTAAAAGTAAATTTACGCTTCTCTATACAGCATTTTCTTTAGCATAAAGTTGGCGGAATTGTAACGCACGGTCAATTCACTCACGTATCCTTAGTCGTGAATGATCATTTCTGCCAACATGAAGCACTTCAGCTCGGCGTAGCCAGTTAAGTCTCATTTGCGCTCTCAGTTTGAGTTTAAAGTTAAGATTCTAAGAGGTTGAGGTAAGCACCCAGTAAATGCGCCAGCTCCACGTTAAACATGTGGTAGCTGTTGAGAACTGTAAAACAGTTCTTCCACGGCGTGCGTATGGAGATAAGATCATTTGTAACCTGTGTGCTCAGAAAATAATAAACAACACTAATGGCAGCACTAAAGCACACTTACAATCCCCTGATACGGCTCATATCGTACGCATGCGCGCAACCATATCAACCGTAAAGTGGCGGCCATGGACAGCTGTTTCGCCCTTGTTATGGCTCATTAGCATGGCATAGCCAGCAGGGTCTATATTTGCATACGCAGGCTTTTGAGAAATAGGCAAATTGATTTATTTGCTCAGCTTCGCCTAACTAGAATACAATCCGGATATTATGTTTAGCAATGACAAAGTCCTAGTTCAGACCATATTTTTCAAAATGAAAATTGTTGCAAGCTTTTAACTCAAACTAGGCTTAGACTGTTTTGGGGATGTTTCATCATTGTGCTCGCACAAATAATTATTTGTGCTTAACTATTAAAACTCCTACATCTCAAAGAATTATGTCATTTTATGTGCTCGATCCATTTGGGCTAAACAATAAACAACTTTACGTTTCATTTACACTAGGCGTAAATAACCGTACAGTCGACTCACAAACTACACGCAAGGTTTACGCTGGCTTTACCCTCCTATCGCGTAAAGCTTCCTCTACATACCCTTATGTAGTACGTAAAGTTGAGTAAAGCTTCGTACAAAACTTTACGCAGATTTACGCAACATTTAAGTCTTCGTAAATCTTGATTTTCATGCTGTGAAGGAGAGTTGACAATCC